AAATAAATATAATCAAAATGTTAGAACATATTTCATTAGTTAGATTCGTATAATTACTATGTTATTATTTAAATTTAAAAGGCAAAACAATAAGATTGAAATAAATCGGATTTAAACACGATGACTAAAATTTTACGTGACTGTTTAATATCGTTTTATCATGAATATTTAATCCAATGATGTCATTGTATTGTTTCATTCAGGCCATATTTCATTGTAAGATAATACGTAAAATAATTATAATATATGTCTATGAAATAAAGTCGGGCGGATGTAAGGTAAAAAGCACAAGAAAGATACTTAATCTTCATCATCAAACCTTTAAAATTTTGTTTGAACTATTATTGAACCATTAGTTACTACATATAACGCTGTATTATTCATACTGAATTGTGAACACAATATATATAAAGAGCTTTTTACATAAAAGCAAAGTAAGGATTTCTGACATTTCAAGAAATATAACGCCCACGTAGCGAAAATAAATTATAAACTTAACATATGAAAAACAATGTATGTAAAACAAAAGCTTTTTCAAACCATTCTTTTTATAGATGATGCTTAATTCTAAAATTCGACATCATCAATCATTTTACACCGTATTAGTTAATTTTAGTTACTTTTTCACACTTCCTGAGAGATCTAGGGTCAGGTGTATGTGCCAAATTACTTGTTTGAAAGCGATTTATATCAGCATCTTGAAAGAAAAGTATTATTGTATTGATATATAGCCAAAACATTGAACGGTACTCTATTTCAACGTTCGATGATTGATTCCATACACAATCTGGCATCGACCTTTTGTTCTAGTTTTGTAATTGATTTCAAATGTTCGTTTTTATAATTATATTCAATCTGAGAATATATTGTCAATTAACACGATATATGATGAAAACTGAGACATAAAAGTAGAATTTCTCTACGAGATATGTTTACTTTTTTCGTTACTATTCACCATGCATAATGCATAATATTATTTTCAATAATTGCATTGCACGTTTTCAAATTTGAACTTTAAATCATTTTGAGTACCAAATCATTATATAATAAACAAGGAATCGAAATTAGATCAGGATATTATCCATGTATTATTAAGAATTATAAGGTTGCAGGAAGGTGTGTCAAAAATATAAAGAAATTTCTTAAATAAAAACTTGGTGGTCACGGTGTCTCTAAATCCCATGCTTGTTTATGTCGATGAAAAAAGCAAAAAAAGCGGGAAAGTTCACCTCCTCCTTTAAAGTACACTTGTTTGCTATTCCTTTCATTTCTTACAAAATACATGTCATAAGATACAATAAAGAACTCGTATAGTGACTAAAAGCTTTCTGTTCATCATTAATAGCCGGGGAAAGGTTAAGCTTTGGGGATATATTATCACTGCTGTATTAAACCTATAAGGGTATTTAATAAAGATAATATACCACGATGCTGTTGCCATGGCAAATATGACTTAGAATATAAATGATAAATAGATAGCTGAGAGCAGCATATCGTAACATCCAGAGAAGATATGACGGAGAAATGAACAAATGTGGAAATAGTGTGTTCTTTTAATGATAATTTAATTTGATATATCTTTCTCTTACCGTTATAGCTTAACTGTGTACGACCGTTTATGAGAGATTACTCAACCTGTTGCTCTAAGTTGTTAAAGCTTGTTTGTACCCACGTATTAGCAGGGCAAACCCAAACTAGTCTTCATTTTGAAGAAAGTCGTTAAAAACAAAATATGCGACTGTATCTTATAATCAATGTCTTTGTCCGTTTATATGACTTAATGGAGTGAATTAATAATAATGCCATGTAGTTCTTCGCACTTATGCCCTCAACTGTTTGTGTTTGGTGTTGTGCTAAGCACTTTGTCGGTGGTCCTGTGTTGTTGGGTTTTTAATTTTGGATGTATTTATTTAAAAGCGCCCTTCATTGTTAATCCTTATTTACAAAATTATGATATTTAGTTTGGTTTTTGTTAAATGAAGATATAATGTTTTTTCAATCTAATTTCTTTAATACATATCCAAGCTAGCTTATTGTATGATAAGATTTCTGGCTATTATTACTGAACAAGTAAAGGCGTGCTTTTATTACTTTAAAGAATAACACGCATTTTGGTGTTTGTACATATATATTTAGGATTTAAAAGAAACCTTTAATCGTCATGTTTTCTTATGTCAGCACAATGAATAGAAGCTTTATATAGAAATTCAATTGTTTCATTATATTCAAAAAGTTTATCAATACCACATTCAAATAATAATCATTATAATTACGTAACCAATTAATCAACGAAACAATAATGAGAGCACAGTGGATATCTTGATTGAAGTTAGTAAATGTGTAAGATCATAGATGTGAATGTATACATTGTATAAGTACTAATGCTGTTAAAGCTGTCTCTATTTGTCGTGATCTGTCTCGTATATGAACAAAGTCAATATTCTGTCTGATATATTTGGAAATCTAGGTCAAATTAGTTACCTCAGGGATGATAAACAGTCTTGAGACCGCAAGTGACATGTAACCTAATTTTTACAATTCGTACAAAGTAACAACTTTGTTGTATTAGATAACGGCGGTAAATTTACGTTTCCTTAGAAAATTTCCGATACAATATGATCAATTGGCAAAGAGCATCAAAGTAATAAAACATCTAAATTTGCAAATACATCATTGCTATCATTTAAGATATTTTGTTTTTGCTGCTATGATTTACAAGTAAAATTTGGAATATATCTGTGTAATTATTGTGTTACAAATGATAACCTTTCAATAAAGTTCAAGTTAAAACTTTTGTTATAGAATTGTATTCGTTCTAAGAGATATAAAGATCAAAGATATTTTCCACTTTTTTTCTTCATAACAGTCTTGCCTTTTACTGTAAATTGAATATGGCTTTCAGAAAACATATTCCTATAACAAAGACAGAATAATCTCTTTGTGTCAATTTCTTTAAAGGAAATTATATCTTTGATGTTCATGACAAAAATGAGATTGCACATCAAAAAGTAAAGTCGACTCTGAATAATCGCGAGTCCTTCGGGATCATTGATTCTAGAAGTTTTAAGTGTTGAGAATTGAGTACCTGTCAAGCCGGTGCTAGTGGGGTGTGAATAGAGTTTTTGATTTGATTTAATGTGATTGTATATCATTTAATATTACAATATGATATATTTTATACAATTGTATACATGTCAGTAGGATGCCAAGCACGTATTTACATGAACAGTGCAATGTCAACTATAGTTTTTATGCTGGTTTTTTTTTCAGAATGCTGCATTCAATATGCAGACAACATGCAATATGATGAGAGCATTATAATGTTAAGAGGGCATACGCGGCATACAGTATGCTGCCTGAAACATTAAATATTCGAACCTAGTTCGAATTAATTTTTGAATACGTGCTTGACATCCTACTTATATTGACATATTGGAATCTACATTTGTATACTACATTTGTAGTTTTGTCTTGCCGTATCACAAGCTTTCTATCATTCATCCCAGTAATATCATTTTATAGATAAATGCATTTCTCCGATACTTTATTCCCTAAATTGGCTAATAATAAAGTTTCATAAAACGATATATTTATTCTTTGTGTATAATATGTCTGATAAATGATAACATTGATCAACCTGAGTGGGTGACCTAATACTTTACTACTCAATACAAACATTTGGTCTAAATTGGTCAAGAAAGTACCAAAAGTAAGGATATATTGACTTTTCATATAAAAAGACGTTAAAACTAAAGAAAATATATTTCAGTTGTCAGTTAGTTTACTACATTTTGAGGAGAGACAGTTCGATACCTTGCTGAACAAGTTGCGAATACACTTTGACATTGTATAACTCGTGATCCATCAGCAACAGACTCATCTAGCTAACACAAAAACTCTTACAGTAAACTATCAGTTTCATCTAATCTTTTAAAATCAACGTATCAAAAGAAAGCAGACTCATTTTTAATCGATTCATTTAAGAACTTTTAGGACGAGAAAAAAGTATGACATTTAATTACGTAATATCTACGAGGAAAATCTTTTATATTGTTATTACTATATCTATTTAGAGACGTAACCACATCTATCTTTATAGTCAGGAAATACTGCTGTGTAATTGTAATACCTTTCGTACCATTCGTACCATGTGGAGATGATATTGTTATTACAATTACCCCTAACACTTATTGTTGATATCGTTTATACTGTACAAAACCCATTATGCTAAGTGTAAAACGTCAAATACTGTTTGCATGGTAATTATAAATGATGCTTATAGTCATGTTTATTGTCATAGGAATTTACCTCTACAGTATAATACTATCATGGTATAACTATACTTGAACCTCGATGAGTTTGCTGAATGAATTTGTAGTTTGTATCTTTATATTATATCACGTAAACATTCTACTCAACACCTGAACAAAACTGAGCATACAACTGTTAGGTTAATAATGAATTTCTTAACGTTTTACTAATTTGCTTTTCGGAAGGTATTTTTAAGAAATTCATATAGATATAGTTATACATACATTTCCTTTCAATGAATATGTATTAGATTATAGTCAAGGAATGCTTGAAAGATCTGTAACACATTTTGCACGTCATTTTATAACAGTTTGATACAGATCGCAACGGCACCATAATATGATTAACAAAAACAAATGTCATACGTTTAGGTAGCACACCACAGTAATGTAAGCCACAGCTTCGAATGGCCAGGGAGGATTTCTTGGATATAGTGAATATTCTGGATTTAAATGACTGGTTGTCTTTAAAATGCATTTTCAGCATAAAATTTGTTTTTGTGACATCTAATATGATCACTGGCAAATTCGAAAACATGGCCAGAAATCACATGCTGTTGATTATGAATGTCAAGGCCGCCATTTTTTGTAAACATTGCTTTTATACAGCATGCACGGTAAAAAAGAAGTCATTTTACAGGGGGGGGGGGGGGTACAAACTTTTAGCAGTAGCAAAAAATCTACCTGGTTGAGGACTAGTTTGTTTGTGATATTTTGCATGTATAGGGAGTTGCTAAAGCAGAGACGGTGTTCCTTTAGCCTGTATATTTGCAGATATTTTTTGCCAGAGGGTCGAAATGTGTTGTTTTGGGTCTCGGGCCACTGTAGTTTTTGGGCTTCAACGGAATGAATTGCAAATTTTTTGACTGCCTGCCTATTGCAGATGGGATAATTTCTTTGTAGATTTGCAATCTTATGTCATATATGTTCTCAACAAAATGTGTTTTTCTTTTTCCAGGTTGTGTAGTTTGGTATCAGAATTATTAGACGTATTGCTTGTAGGACATTGACGGCAGGAACTTGAAATTAACTGTGGAGTGCTACCTTAAGGTAAAATGATTTTTTTTTCAAACCTTGTTTTTTCGCATTTAACTTTGTGTAAAGGCTTTACCATGCACACTGACCAAAATGATGGTGAAATTTCATAAAAATATTTGTCACAGAGCTTGAAAGTTAGGTTTAAAAAGGGGAGGTAACTCAAATACATGAAAACCTAAATGTGAAATGTATGAAAGGTGCTGTGTCTGCCATGTGTCTTAAGTCATAATGACTACTTATTCCAGGAGAGACAGCTGTGGGAGAGTGAAAATATTCACATATAGAGCTATTCGGTTGATATTTTCCTGATTTTCCAAACTTTTTTTGGTGGAAAAAGGCATGTTTTTTTATTGCATTTCAGCTGTACATGTAGAATATGGCCATCGGGCGTGTTCCATGTGATGCGAAATATTTGTGCGAAGGGATATGTTTGCTTGAAATCATTTACAGGTGCAAATGGATGTTAAAGCTAGGTTTTCGGGTTAGATTTTGACCATTTTGGAGTTGGGCATGCGAGATTGAATAGTCGGAGAATTTGGTTTTCAGGGTGTCGCTTGGTGAATTTCGATGCCCAAGGCGACCAACATTGATAGATCTACAATGCTCAGAGGGCCATGATAAGTGCTGTGTCTCTTTGAATTTGACTTTACATAAAACCTTTATGAAAATTGTGCATGCTACTTGGACTTTATACTGTGCAGGATTGAAAAAAAAATAGCACATTTTGGTGTCTGGCAAGAACATAATCTGTTGTATTTTTGCCTTATATGAAGCATGAAGCCATATATTCTTAAACTGTATGCCAATTTGTTGAATATTTCTTTCATATTAGATGTAATAAGGACATATTTGAACATTTTGATTGTATAGATGGTATAAGAACCAGATTGTGTACACTTTACATTGGGAATACTTTCTTATTCTACATGTACTGAAAAAGGCTTGCCGAGGGCTGAAAATGGGATGAACAGCATAGTTCATTTAAGGCATAGATAATGAAAAAAACAAACAATTCCCAGCAAAAATTTTCATTTTGTTTATTGAAATATGCATGAATTTGTAGAAAAAGTCCATATAAAGGTCATCAATCAATGTTATGATGCCCCTTAAGGTAGCACACCACAGTAATGTAAGCCACAGCTTCGAATGGCCAGGGAGGATTTCTTGGATATAGTGAATATTCTGGATTTAAATGACTGGTTGTCTTTAAAAATGCATTTTCAGCATAAAATTTGTTTTTGTGACATCTTAATATGATCACTGGCAAATTCGAAAACATGGCCAGAAATCACATGCTGTTGATTATGAATGTCAAGGCCGCCATTTTTTGTAAACATTGCTTTTATACAGCATGCACGGTAAAAAGAAGTCATTTTACAGGGGGGTACAAACTTTTAGCAGTAGCAAAAAATCTACCTGGTTGAGGACTAGTTTCTTTGTGATATTTTTCATGTATAGGGAGTTGCTAAAGCAGAGACGGTGTTCCTTTAGCCTGTATATTTGCAGATATTTTTTTGCCAGAGGGTCGAAATGTGTTGTTTTGGGTCTCGGGCCACTGTAGTTTTTGGGCTTCAACGGAATGAATTGCAAATTTTTTGAGTGCCTGCCTATTGCAGATGGGATAATTTCTTTGTAGATTTGCAATCTTATGTCATATATGTTCTCAACAAAATGTGTTTTCTTTTTCCAGGTTGTGTAGTTTGGTATCAGAATTATTAGACGTATTGCTTGTAGGACATTGACGGCAGGAACTTGAAATTAACTGTGGAGTGCTACCTTATCAACGTTGTCCTTGACCTAAGCTTTATTATCCAGTAGAAACCTTACGATATCTTTTCAAATATATCTTATAGAAATAGAAACATTTTTATTATTAAAACGTTTCGTTGATAAATGATAACATATTTCAACAAACCCTTTTAAACGCTTAAAGTTTGGTTGCGTTTGAAGACACATTGAAACTTGAAACGACATAAGACCACATACCAGCTTTATTGAAGGATGAAAATATCTTCTTAAGAGTGCCATTGACCTTTTGTAAGGTTACTAAATACCAAATGCATTTATTAACCTAAATGTAGAGTGGGAAATATGTAATACAAATATAATTGTTATGTTGTTTTTGGGCAAAATAGATTTGCCCGTTTTCATTCAAACATGAGTTTGCTTATGAATTGTTCCATACACAGCTCGCATGATCATCGCTACACCATACACATATTCACGTAAGTTGATATTTGACTCATGTGAGTGATTTTAAAAGTCATTAAGATGATGTTGACTGATTTTGACAATGTAATACTATTTAATATATACATGTTTTGATATACGAGGATTATAGGATCATTATAAGAAACAGGACTTAAATTAAAATTTGACCTGCATTCGGCCTTTCTGCAGTAAAATCCAAATTGTATACATTAATTTAAATAGGCAAACATGGTAAACAATATAAATACTGGTATATAATTGCAATAGCAAAGAAGTTACAGTCCATAAAACATATGAACTTACTAAAACGTTGAAACGTGAAAGTGTTCAGTCTTACAATTGTATAAAATTTGGAACCACTGACCAAGAATCAAACAACAACAACAACAACAAATACTAAAATAACCTACGCGTAGTTTTTTAAACAGCACTATCTAATTAATGTCTAACCACTTACCACTCTCACCCTAAAACCAAAAGCTTTAAAGCCCAAATTTTATTTTTAATTTTTTGGGGTTTTTAGGGTTTCCCAATTTTTTGGGCCCAAAACTTGGGTTTTAAAAATATCAAAATCATAGGGTTAAGCGCGGGGTTTTTTAAATTTGTTAAAGAAAAATGATGAAGCCAAAAAAATAAAAGCAAAACAAAATTTTTTCCCCTAAAGGTTTTTGTTTAAAGGGCTGACATTCTGCATTATTCTGAAAAGGGAAATTAGACAGAACTTATAATGAAAACCAAGTGAAATTTTGAAAAACCCATAGCTCCCTAATTTGTTGGGCTTTTTACAAGATAAAGATTCACGTACCTATCTGATTGATCTGAAGGAACACAGTATTTTCACTTATTGAATTTGCAATTTAAGCTGATAGAAATGTTAAACTTTACCTTATTGTATAGCAGAAAACATTTTTTTCTCTTTACATTTTCTGTGTAGCAGACGTCCAATGACAGACATCTTTGAAATATGTCACTTCATATTTTATAGTGAAGATTTCTTAATGTTAATATCAATTTCGGTCAAATTCAATCCAAGAACGTAAGTTATGTAAAGTTTATGATTGATTAGGGTCAGAAATCCTTAAGTATTCACTACATGTTTTTGTATATTAATGATTTTCGTATGTAGATTTTGTATGAGATTTCAATATGGCCGCCATTGAAATCCAAGATTTCAGATTCAGAAATTTGGCCGTCTGTCCATTGGAGGATTTCCGGATTTCCGTTGTTTCATTGGTGGAATTTCAAAACATCGACCCTTTTAAAAATTGGGAAACCAACCAAAGTTTCACTTTGGTTCGACCTCCAATAATGTAATAAAATTGTAAAACCGCCCAAAATTAAATTCATAAACATCTTTAAACGAATTGTTTTTCCAAACTTTAAGTTTTGTTTTTATTTTTTCCAATATTAGTAAACTAGGAAATGGTTGTTGCCGAAATACTGTTATAAACTTAGAAAACTGATAAGAATTGTATTTTTTTTTTCCATTTTGATGCGTTTTAGTTGATTCTAAACATTTCTTACAAAAGAATTTTTTCTTTTTTAAAACAAGGAAAGAACAAATAATTCGTAAGAATAAGTGCACTGTCAATCAGGATGCAGAAAAAGGAACAAGACAAATAAAATTTAAGTTTTTAATATGTCTTTTTTTATGAAAATTTATTAAAATTTGATTAAAAAAAAATTTTCATATTTTTGTTATTAAATTAAATTCAAACCTCAATATTATGTTAAAGACAAGAATAATGAAACGCAACAGCAACAATAAGCAACGACAACAACCATAAATAATTTCTTTTTTAAATTTTTAAACAAATGAAGATCACAATTCCTTAACAATGCTGGTTTCTGCAGATGCAAGATACAATTAGGATTTAAAAAAATGTAATGTAAACAATATATATTATATTTAAAGATAAGTGTCTATGAAAATAGTTCTTTGCTTTTAATTGTTTTTGTTACAATATGAATTACTCTGTTTATTACTGCCGTGAAAGTTTTTTTTTTGTTGTTTTTGCCTTAAGGTAAGAATATTTTAATCTCAGGACCTGAGTATCCATACATTGGTAATTGGTAATAGGAAAGAAAAAACAACTTTTATCATAAATATCTTTATTCATAAAATCAAAGACCTCATAATGCAATTATGTTAATTAAAATTGCTTTTGTTTTGTTACAAATTGTTTTTCTTAGAAACTAGGCAACTCCTATACATTTGTAAGCGGTGATATATTACTGTCAGATGAAGCTGTATAAAACCTAATTATTAAGGAATATAAGTTTTACAGTTTCGGCATCAAAATTTATGTTGTAAATTATTCAAAGAAATCATAGCAATCTTGTAATATATTGTAAGATAACTATAAATCAAATCTCGTTTTTATCATTTATAAACAGTGTAGAAACTGGAGACACTTCTTTTGAAAATATTATAATCATTTGTTTACAATGTTCAATGTATATTACCATTACATTCTATGAACTATTTTTTTCTCTTTTATTGATTTTTATTGTGTTTTTTTGCATTCTTTGTAATTCTTTTATTTTAATATTTTCAGTGTTTCAAGTTTTGGGTTTTTTTTTTCCAAGGGAAATGCTTTTTCGTAGGCTGGGGCGGGGGGGAAAGTCCCCGTCCCAAAATGACTTCATATGGGTTTCTAAAAGTTTTTTTGTCTCCCCCCTTTTCAGAAATCATAGGGGAAATATTTTCATTGCGGGAAAATTTGGGGTGATTACTCGTTAGTTATCCCAGGAACCCGGTTTAGTAGATATAACTGAAAATTAATGTTAAATATTGAATATTTTTTTTTTTGCTTTTTCATAAATATATTTCGTGCGTCCAATTGATATTGCTTAACCTTTTTATCTTTTAACGATTTTCAGTTCTGGCGTTTTCAAATTTTGTAAGTCAGGCCTTGCTATATATATCTATCTAGCCTTCTATAGTTTTATAGAATGATTTATTAAAAAATGATGATTTATATGCTTTTATGTTTTATATTGCCAGGTATAAACATTTCATCACCTTAGCTTCTCATTCTGTAAATTTGTTTACCTTTATTTGTGGAATACTACTTTCCGTTTGTTTTGTGAAATTGGATCTTTTATTCTGTACTATAAACTTTTGTTTGTCCTCTCTTATAAGAAAGCCGTCTCGTTATTTATAAATTCACGTATGTTTTATTTTTCTTTGAGCGTTTGCCAAGAAACGTCTTTTAAGTTTAGAAAATGCTAATTTCACACGAGTTTCTAACGAAATGCCAATGAAACATTTTAGGCTACTGTTTACAAATAATTACATACAAACAAAAAGCTTCCAACTGGTAATGCAATTCAAACATATTGTTTAACTGACAGGTGTTCTTGCCGGTCCCGAACAGACACAACAATACAAAGATAATTTGACCTGTTGAGTTGAACTCTTCAAAAAGTTCTTTGATCGAATGCGGTTGGTGAAAACGCCTGGGAAATGAGTTAAATATTTTTTTTCATAATAATGAAGGCATTTGAAAACAAATTGTTAACACAATATAATTACGTTATCTTTGTTGTAATTAAAGAAGTGGTGCAAAGTTACTTAATTTTATGAATTTTGTTAGATCTAATCTTTATTGTTTAAAAGTTGTCTTAATCAATCTATTCATATAACTACTAGTTGAAGATCCTGTATTATGTATGTAAATAATTTACAAAAACAATATCAGAAAGGTTTGATTTGATGGGGTAAATGCGATAATTTTACGTAAAAAAACCCAAATTGGTAAATAATACAGTAAAATGTTGAAAAGTCTTCGACGCGGACTCGGTCTTTCTAAATATAAGTCAATGATCGGTACCATATGATCGGTCACTTGACCCATCTCTAAGTTCAACAAAACAAACATGGATGCCATGCGGATGTTATTTTTATCATTTTACTTTTGGTTTTTGTTTTAAAGATTAACATGGCCTTTAGTATGATAAAAATAACATGATTACTAAAAATAGCGATAAACGCGAGGGTGTCCATACTCCTTCCGCCTTTTCTACAAGCCATTCGAGCGTGTGTCACGTGACCTCCGTTAGTTGTAACATACACTTTGTGATAATGTCGGTTCTTTCCGACAATAACTTTACGACTACACACGATGTATAATGTTAAAATGTCAAGCTCTAGATTATATGCCCCTAACTTAGTGGTACACAGCCAATTGCATATCTGTGTGTCAAAACAAACGTAATTGATAAATGACGTAATTAAACAAAAACGTAATTGATAAATAACGTAATTTTAATGACGTAATTCTGGCGCTTTTTAATTAAGTATGATGTTATTTTGTTTGTCGATAAAAATTTGCCGAAATAGCGTCTTTGAGCATGGCATGTGAAAAAGACAAAAACGAAACGGTACATATCAATAAAATGTGTTTAAATGTTTCATATTATTATGACTAAGTCTCTTTGTATAAAGTAGATTAGTGTACAATTGAGACATTTTCCATAAGTATGTTGATAAAAAAACAGTAAGAATTAACATGTACAGGAATACTTTGGATGGTATTTCGTATAAGATAGATACATGATCTATGC